GTCCTCTTCATTTCTGCACACAGAAGACACTGCCTGGAATTTGAATAGAAAACAGTAGGAATAATCAAGAGTCTTGAGCAAACAGCGAGGAACTCTCAGAACTCTTCTAGGAGCATAAATCATAGACCTGACTCCCTCCTGCTAAGAAAAGCTAAGACAGTTGTTCCATCAGGTAAAAAAAAAAGTGAAGAAACACAGCTTGAGATTGTCATTAAATGTGCCACCGCAGAAAAGACTACAAGTGTATAATCCTCCATAGATGAAGCACACTTGAGGACAAAGTAACAAGCGATCATATACAAATGAAAAAGGAATACTTATGTCACTGTTAATTAAAGATGCAGATATAAGGGTAGGAGGTTCTATTTTACAGTCTTCAGTTCTCTTCAACGAAGACTTTTCCTTAGCGTGGTAACAGCGCGCGTGTAAAAGTACACCAACCCTGAAGAATTCACCATCTATTTATTAAAAGGGATAACATTTTTCTGCAAGGTAGGCTTCATTCATAAGCCAGGTGTTCCCTCTGTTCTCTTCCAATTTGATTTCTAGCAAGTATTCAAGAAGTTATCAATGCACCAAACGTATTTACATACAGACATCAAACCGCACAGCTCCAGCACTAGAAGGACTCACAACTACCGCGCTGAACAGAAGCGTTAAGCTCCGTGCTTGGAGTTCTCTTTCTTTTCACCAGCAATCACGAGAGGCACGGCTCCGGGCCGTTACATAACCGGCTCAGGACCGTCCCGACGCCGTTCTCTCAGCACGGCCCTGCACCTGCTACGGCTCAAGCCCATCCCTCTCCCGGCCGGGCCGCGCACACGGCGCCCCGCCTCAACCCAGAGAGTCGCACCGGGGAATCTGGGGCCGCGTGCCCGTTGCAGCCGGGCGCCGCTCGGCTCCCCACCCCCCGCGGCCGGGCAGCGCACCCAGCGCCCGCACCGCTCCGGCCGGGCCCGCGCGGCGCCTCATCCGCGCTGCTTCGCGCCACAGCCGGAGCGCGGCCCGACCGCGAGCTCGACCGCGAGCCTCGCCTCATCCGCGCCCTCCCGAGGAAAGCGGCCGGCTGGGCTCGGGGCGGCGAGCGGCGAGCGGCCCGGTCCGGGCCTGGCGCAGAGCGGCGGCGGGGCCGGAACAGGCCGCGAGCCCGGGGAGCCCGGCGGGCCTTCCCCTTCCTCGGGCCGCGGGGCCCGCCGGCCGCCCGTCCCCGCGTTACCCGGCACCGGACGATAGAGACGGGGCGATCCCGCCGACGCTGCTCACCGAACGCCGCGAGAGACGGGAACGGAGAAGCAAAGGCCGAACGGCGGCGAAGCCCGAAACTGACACGGCGGCCATCTTGGGTCCGGAGCTCTGCGACGGGGGGAGGGGGCGCGGCAGCGGAACAGCCCGCGGCGGGCGGGGGCGCCGCCCGGGAACAGCGCGGCGGGCGGCAGCGTCGGCCTCGGCCCGGGGCGGCCCTGAGGAGCGGCGCTCGGGCGGGAGAAGCGGGGCGCTCGGGCGGGAGCCGGCGCGATGTCGGCGCGATGTCGGAGCGGCTGGGCTCCCGCCCGCCCGGAGTCGGCGGGAACGGCACGGGCGGACCGTCGTGCTGTGAGAAGGCGGCTGCAGCCCCTGAGGTAGGACGGCTTTCTGCCCCCTAGGCTGAACTCAGGGATGGATGAGGTGTTTCGGCTCGCCCTGCCTGCCCTCGCTCAGTCGGGCAGTTTCGGTGGCTTTCTGACGTCTTGGATTTCTGCTGTTAGGTTTTTGCGGTACAAAAGCAAATGTTCCGAGTGGGATATGAGTGTAATTTCCAGAGAATAACGGCAGCGGCAGAGCTCGCCCGTCGCAGGACGGTCCGGTGATGCTGTGGCGCTGCGCTCACACGGGTTCGCCTCTGCACTCCGTTCTCCGAATTTACAGGAGGTTTTTTTCTGGCAACCTCTCAGAATTATTTCTTGTTGTAATTTAGGAACAAAACGCAGCTTGCTTTCTTCTGCTCTGTTTTATTCTCACGGCACCGGTAACAGCGGAATCATCAGAATTCTTTTATTTGGCAAACTGTGGAAGAAAGGGATTGTTTTATGAAGGCAAAGCTGTTGCCAAACCCTGCGCTTTTTTTCAGCATTGATTTTTTGCCCCTGAGGATTCAGCTAGCCTTAACTGCTTTCAGGCTGTCAGGAAGTGAACCAGCAGTGTGGAATTACTCTTCTTGCTGTACCTTCTGCCGTGTTCTCCTTTACGTTGCAGTTTATACAAACTCCTGAGCCACCGTGGAGAAAAGCACTTAATGGCTTTGAGAACAAAACACGATCCTTCTGCTCCTGATCCTCCAGTTTGGAAGCAGATGGGCCACGTTCCTGCAGCAGCAAGCAGCACTGCAACGTTAAATTCTTCTCAGCAAGGTATGGGAAAATTCTTAGAGAAGTTTAAAGTTCAGATTAGCATCCCAGATACACAGCAACTCCTCAAAGGCCAGTGATTTTGACAAGCTGTCTCTCACGGTTAGTTCTTCGTAAGCCTGTAAGATTGTGAGCAGAAATATATTCCCCTTCTTCCCTCAGCAGCCTTCACCTCAGCTGTGCAGGAAGAATTTATTACGCTGTGGCATCTTTTGCATTGGCTGCAATGTTCTTGATGACTAAAGAAAAATAAATAACAACATGAACTGATTGAAATATTAACACTCTCAATGAGAAGCACAAGCAACCAGAACAGGCTGCCCAGGGAGGTTGTGGATGCCCCGTCCCTGGAGGTGTTCAAGGACATATTGGATGGGGCCCTGGGCAGTCTGGTCTAGCATTAGGTGGGATGGTTGGTGGCCCTGCATGTGGCAGGGGGTTGGAGATTCATGATCCTTGAGGTCCCTTCCAACCCTGGCAATTCTGTGATTCTGTGATTCTGTTTTCAAACAATGTATGTATGCTACAGGGAAAACAGATTGGTGTTTTATGAGACAAGAAGTGAACACTCATATTGATAGGAAGTATCTCATCACTGTAGACTTTAATTTCTAGGTTAAAAACGGAATGGTTTGAGTTTCTCAGAGAAGCTGGCAAGTGCATAAAGGCTTTCTGTTGTTCAACTTAACCGTGTGCTGCTGCTTTCTATCTATGATGCCTATATGATTTCTGATAGCACAGCAAGAGCCTCTTAGCAGTGATGTTAAAACCATACATAATTGTTTAAATTTAGAACAGCACACCATAATTAAATGACGTATACCTCGTTGCTGCTCTCAAATATGTAGTTCATTGCAGTGTTTTGAATTAGACATTAAAAAGAAAATCTTGCTGCTTAAAAACTCACTTGAAAACAAATCTTAAGTGTAAATGACAGTAAGTAGGTCAGTTCTCCTTTCTGCTTTTGTAAAAAAGTTAACCTTTTGCATGCTGGATTAATAAAAATGTGACGTAGGCATGAACAGCCTGACCTCTGCCCCATTTTGGGGAGAAATAGTTACAACAAAATAGGGAAATCGGGGGGAAATAACTACGAGTAGTTGCAACAAGGTCTAACTTAAGCTTTAAACAGCCCTGTGAAGAACAGGTGGCAGCAGACTCTGATCCAAGCCCGCCAGTGCTTTTGCAGCAGTCCTGACCAGTAGGCTTCCTTCCAACAGTGAGAGCCTTACACTCGTGCAGTTCTTTTTGTGCAGCAAAAGAGGCTGCTTTTCTTTTCCTGTATTGGAGCAGTTGATCACAACCAGGTAGAGGCAGCAGTGCAGCAGATGTCATTTACCTGGACTTGAGCAAGGCCTTTGACACGGTCCCCCACCACATCCTTATCTCCAAATTGGAGGGATGTTCGATTTGATGGGTGGACCACTCAATGGATTAGGAATTGGTGGAAAGGCTGCAGACAGTGGGTGCTCATCAATGGCTCTTTGTCCAGGTGGAGGCTGGTAACAAGTGGCATCCCCCAGGGGTCTGTCTTGAGACATCTTTAGCATCTTTATCAATGACACTGGTGATGGAATTGAGTGCACCCTCAGCAAGTTTGCTGATGACACCAAGCTGAGTGGTGTGGTTGACACAATGGGATGCCATTCAGAGGGACCTCAACAGGCTTGGAAGGTGGACCCGGGTAAACCTAATGAGGTTCAACACATCAGAGTGCAAGGTTTTGCACTTGGGCCAGAGGAATCCCAGGCATCCATACAGACTGGAAGGAGCAGCCCTG